GCATTTTCATTCCTGTATCCCCAGCACTTCTCAATGCCTGGCACAAGAAAAACATGCACTAAGTACACTGGATGGATGGAAAAAACCCCGACTACTCTACAGTCCCAACTTACTACCTTCCCATATTCTTCAATCCCCACCTCCCTTTCCCTTTCCAATTCCTATTACATATTATACTTCTCTTGTCCTAGACCTTGTCTTTCCTCTATTTCATTTTCAGATTCTTACCTTCCTCCAAACCTTACCTCGTAAACCATTACCTGTGTGTCCTGTCTCTAACAGTCTTCTTCCTTGACCCCTTAGGCTGACTTCACTGCAGGCTTCTCATTATTCAGGTCTCAGCTCAAATGTTCTCTTCAACCATGTGACCCAGTTTGCCCAGAACAGTACTGGTTTACACCTGCTGTCCTAACCTAATTATTAGCAGAGCCTCTTTTTATTCTCAAAACTGTCTCCATTTGAACAATATATTATACTGTCATATCTCAAAATAACCCCTGGGGAAAAAATTCCAGCTGTCAGATTCTCTCACAATAACTGTTTTCTTTTTTATCACCTATAACTTTCAAAGTATCTTAAACAGATGTAAATTTAAAGTCTTCAACTACTTCAGTATAAGCTCCATAAGAACATAAGAACATAGAGCTTATGAATGTTTCCAGCTTATTCACAGTTGGATCCACAGCACCTAGAAGAGTATCCGACAGTCTGTAGGTACCTAGCATCTGGAATCTCCAGATTTAGCAGAGATCCTAAAGGCTCAGATCTTGTCTCTGGCAGTTCCTGCTCCAGGCAACAAACAAGGTTCTAGATACTTCCCTAAATTCAGGGAAGTATAAATTCATTTAAGATTGGGGCATATGGATGACACTTACTTTCATGTAACTGGGTTAAATTGGTATTTCTTTAAATTAAAGTAACTAGTTAATATGTTCGTTACTCGAAAGATAAGCTCTCTGATCTCCCTTCAGTGAATTAACAAAAGTATCATATAGACATTCAAGAAAAACAAAGGAATGCCAATATACAACAGTGATGAAAAAGTCTGTTGCTCATATTTGTGTTAAATGAAGAACAAGAGTGGGAAGGTGGGGGGAGGGGAGAGAGTTCCCTAGTGGTCCAGTGGTTCGAACTCTGTGCTCTCACTGTCAAGGGTGTCCATTGAATGTTTAACCCCTGGTTGGGGAATCAAGATCCCACAAGTCATGTAGGATGGCCAAAAAAAAATAAAGCACAGACTTTTATACAACTAAATTTTCACAATTATCTTGCTGAGTGTGATACTCTAAAAATATTTAAGAGAATGTAAACTCTTAGGCCCAAACTACAGATTAAACATGTCTAGAAGAGAGAAATTAAAGCTATTATTTCAATTTGATGATGACAATCCAATAGCCAAGTTCAAATATTCTTTTTTTTAATTGCAGTATTATTGACCTATAACACTATATTAGCTCCAGTCTGACTCAGAACAATCTCATTTTCACTGAAATATAGTTTGCAACATTCCTTTACCAACCATCTTTATATACATTAATTATGTAAATAGCTAGTGAAAAGATAAGTAATACAGAATGGTAATTAAGAAGGCCTGGACTTGAATTCAGCCTCTATCACTTATAACTATATGACTGTGGATTAAGTCACTTTCTCAAGTTCCTGACCTAAAAAGCTGGGATAATACTGAACTAACCTCAAAGGTACTGAGGCAACTGCCAGCAAAAAAAGCATGAACACTGTATCAGAGTACAGTGCTTAAGCACATAGTAAACATTTAATGGTAATGATATTCAGACAAAATACTGCTTTTTGTTCTAAACTTTTTTTTCTTACCAATTTTGATAATCTTTTAAAATTATCTTCCTAAAAACATTCTTATCTGTCATCTTACAACAATGTTTGTCAAGTTTTAGGCCCATGGGAGTCAGTATGTCTGCAATGAACTCTAGGATTCAATATTCTGAACAATCCCAACAAATTGAGACTCATGAAGCCAACTGACCACACTTGAAGAAACATTGAATTTAAAAAAATTTTTTTACATCAAAAAACTAGTTGCATGCTAAAAAGAAGAAGAAGAAAAAACACTGAATTATAAGTACTCAGCCAGCAATTCAACCTTTTCTGGAAGCCTCAAAGTAACCACTATAAACAACTAATACTGAATCCACCTGTGATGCAATGAAGCACGAGAGGCTACAAAGGTGTGTGGGGATTTGGCACCATGCCACAGACCCCAGTACTGCAGTGTCTGACTCTCATGTCACTGTTATACTTTACCAGCAGCCTCAGCTGTCAATTCTCACTATTGTCACAGTATGCCTATCTCCAGCAGTATTCACCTTTAGACCTTTAAAACTTTCTAGTAGGCTGCAGACTAAAAATAAGTCAAGTTTGTCTGGATAACTACAATAAAATTAATTGGATACTATCTGAAAGGACCAAAGTATATCTGTAAGCAGTGTAGTAAGTTATGTCACACCCATCTGAACATCTCAGAAGTCAGTTCTAAATCCCACCTTTTGACTGTGATCACGTTAGTTAAAACTACCAAATACACAACCTCTAGATAAGAGAAGTGAGTCTTTCTCTCTCTATACATACATGAAGTGAAGTGGAGTGAAGTCACTTAGTCATGTCCGACTCTTTGCAACCCCGTGGACCGTAGCCCACCAGGCTCCTCTGTCCCTGGGATTCTCCAGGCAAGAATATTGGAGTGGGTTGCCATTTACTTCTCCAGGGGATCTTCCCAACCCTGGAAGGGTTGACACTTCAACCTCTGAGCCACCAGGGAAGCCTGTCTATATATATATAGACATACAGAGATGCATGTACATGCTTAAATGTATGCATGAATGTACATGCATGTGTTAGTCCAAAAGGTTCCATTTCCTTGCAAGTTTTTCCAAATTTTCCCTATACATTTTATGTCTAGTCCATTTCAATTTCTATTTTTCAAATTACTAATACTGTGTACAGAGTATTACCTTTCAAAGATTTTATAAAAGTGAAACTAGGATTTTACCATAAGGCTACCCAAATATAAAACATCGTATCTAAACACTTAGGTAGCATTGACACACAAGATTCAAAGCACTCTGTAAACAGAAGAGTCTAAATGGATGAGGAAATTCATGAATTTTCTCAAGGCCACCCAGTTACCCACAAAAACTGCGCTAAGGAAAAACAACTGAGAACCAGTTACTAAAATAATGACTAAAACAATGACTAAAAGTTTTTAAATTTTCTATTATATAAAGAGACATTACCCAAAAAAATATTTCAGTTTGTTCTTTTCTTTAATATTAGCTCCTAAGAAATCATGGACTAGTTCTCATAAAATTCTATCAAAATATAAACAATTTTTTAAAGTCACAGTTATTTCAAATCATCTTTAAAATTCCATTATTCTCTTTTTGAGCACCACAGTGAGTTATAGCTAAGAAAATACTAATTTTCATGTTATCTGGAGTTTCAGATAACTCATAAGTTGAACCAGTAAGTTAAAATTGGTTTATGAAAATATTAGACACTTAATTACATTTTCTGTGAAGAAAAAAACATTTTCTGCTGTCTTTTTGTGTTAAAATTAAAACACCTATATGCCAATGCATTAATCTCTAGTTCTTAAAATTACTGTAAAGACATTCTGTTCTTGCTGCCTAAATCTACTGAACTTCTGTTATTGCAATATCATATGAACTGTTTATCAACTTATATATCAATTTATATTACTTTTTCTTCTTACCTAATTCTGTTTACATAAGAGATGAAAACTTAAAAATCTGCAATGTTAAATTACTTTTGGAAACAAGAGGGAGGGGAGAGCAGAGCAGAGTGAGGGCAGTCACCTTATGACTGACACGCTCCTTAATTTTTAGGAAACAGTTCCATTCCCAAACACTAACTTCTAATGGTCAAATATGATAAGCAATCAAAATCTAATTAAACCTATATCACTGATACAAAATGAATCCTATGCCCACTCAAAACTGGCCACCTTGTCTCAGTATACAAAATAAGCGTGACTGATGACTACTCTTTTAGCCTACTAAGATAGGAAAACCCAAGTTCAACCCTTTAGAAGTGTCTTTTCTATCTAACAGAGTGAGCAATTATGCGGACACCACTGACAGTGACCGTGATAAGGACAGAAGAAAGAAAAAAACATAAAAAGCATAATATGACCATACTGTGGGAAAAATCTAACTTACACCTAAATTATTGTTTCAAAATGTTCTTTCCCAAGAGAATTAAATTCATACATAAATATGTCCATTATAGTCTCACTAGTAACAAAAATTACACCAATCAAAAATAAACTGCATTGTTTCTTTAAAAACTTTACCAGTGATATTAGCTGTAAAGCCTATTTCCAATATTCACTCATACAACATTCACTTCCAATAAACAGCAGGTACCCATTAACGCATGGCACTGGGCTAGAAATTGTTAACAGACATGACAAATTATTTCATACAATTACCCTTACCTTCAGCTGAAATCCAGTTTCATTTACTGTCTCTTTCCAGTTGCCTTCCTAAAAATTAAAGGTAACTTTAGATATCACTGTAAAATAGCCCATAAGTAATATCCCAAATAAAATACCCATCATTCTGTTCTTCCCTCATGGGAGATGGGGGAAGAGGGGTTAAAAAAGAATTCTTTTCACTGCAAAATTACACATACAATCCAGATTCCAAAAGATTACCAGAGACAGCCCCAAGATTTTCTAGATCTGGGATTCAAAACACTAAAGACTAACTTTCATACCATTTAAGTGATACCAAAAAGTACAATCTTTAGTATCTTTAAGTATAAAAATGTTAGCCAGAAGAATGATGTAATACTTTGGAAATTCAAAACAAACCATGAAATACATATAAATTAACAAAGGGCAGCTCCAAGAGAATCCTTAAGAAGAAGCACTCCACAATTTAAAATTTTAAAAATCCCAAGTCAAATGAAATTTTTTAAAAGACTAAATAAAAGAAAAATACCTGTGTTAAAAACAAATAGAAGATTTTGTCTCTACAAAGGATGGGATGTGAAGCAAGTCTCAAGAGGAAATTTTCTAAACCAATTCGTAGTCTTTCCACAAAATCCGGGTCCATGTTGTCAGCAGAGAGTTTATGCCAAACGAATTCTGCCTAGATAAACAAAACAATCATGAAGAATAGTCTCAATGCTAACTACTTCTAAACTACACCACCACTTCACTCCTTACCCTTTTTTCTGGTAGAGGTGGCACAACAATATGTGGATAGTAAACTAAAAGGTAGTTTCTCAACCACTCAAATGCACTACACCGCCTCCACAGTGAGTCTGTTAGGACACTCTGACCATCACTATGTTCAACTGACCTGAAAAAGACAGAATAAGATTTCTAGTGTTTTTTAAAAATACAAATGCATGCATACGACCTCCTTTTAAAACTGGTAACTCCATTTACTGAATGCTTATGAACCAGGAGGGCTATGAACCAGGCACTGAGAACTTTTCATGTATTATTTAATTCCTACAACAAACCTGGTGAAGCAGGGATTACTGTCCCCATTTCACAGATGAGAAAGCAGCTGCATGGTATATGCTCTTCCTTCAATCACAAAGATTTGTGGGTAGAGCACTCAGATCCATCTGATTCCCAAGCCCTCACTCCTAACCACTTTCCTCCATTATAGAAAACCTATTTGAACTTGAGAGAAATAGTCATATTAGGAATATTCTTCTCAACAAAAGCCTCAACATAAGATAATTCAGTTAACATAATGGCTGGCTTTATAATATAGTAAGAGTCTGGCTTCACCAGTGTTTCATTAAAGAAAAAAGTACTTTTAACTCTCACAATGAAAGAACAACTCCTGCCACAATGACAGAACAACATTCATGCCAAAGACCATGACACCAAAAAAATCCTCAATTTAACATCATCAAAAAATCAGATGCATCCAAGTGCCAGAAAAGATCCACAAAAGTAAACTGTCAAAGAGCGGCAAGAAGGGATGTAACAAATTAATTCTAGTCTTATATTTAATATAAAGAGCTGCAGGTAATGCCATGAGTCATCCATATAAAAGTTCAATTTGGGGGAAAGCTGGGTAAAATCATAAAAATAATATTTGAAATTATTTTGACTATTTATCATTTCTGCTAGCATAATGACTATTAGAAAACATCAGCCTTCTAAACATTATTGGAACCTTCCCATTTCCTAATAGAAAATAACTTACAGATCCTCCAAGAAACATGCATATAACCAAAATGTGCATTTGTGCAAGTACAGTATAAAGGCAGAGAGGCTAAATCAGTCTCAGAATAAAGTCTCGAGAAAATGGATACACCACACCATGCTCAACACAAGATGTTCATTGTTTTTATTATTTATATATCGTTTTCTAAATTAATTCACTGTATATTAATTTAAAAGGGAAACAATATGAAATTCAAAATATACAAATGGTTTTCATGGCAAGATACAGGATTATTAAATGATAATTCATTTTAAAGAGTTGACCTAACCATTAGCTGACTAAAACTGTTCTAATTCAGATTTTCGACTTCAGCTAAAAAAACATATCTTGGGTTAATATCAAGTTTCAAATTATTCAAAATTATTACCAACAGAGCCCAAATCTTGCTAAAAAGTAGATAAATATAGCCTATAGGCAGTACACCTAAAGGCTGTTAGAAGAGCTGTTACAAGTTGTTTTTGCTTTGTTTTATTTCAAAGCCCACAAAAAGAAGTCAGCGGAAGCCACCTAAAAGCATAGAGAAGACTTTCTTTGGACCACAAAACTACCCCATTTATCCAATTATTTAATAAATGTTTAACAGCACATAATTGGTTTCACATGCAATATTTAAATTAAATGTAACCGTTTAAACCATTTAATATGACAAAGTATACAGGATCTTTAGCCCTGCTTTACAAATTAGAAGAATTCAGGAAAGACATCATACGGCTTCCCAAGACAAAAGAGGCATCTTACCTGTTAATACACACAGTGTTCTTACCTATTTTAAAAGGGTTCATACTTAATGAACAGCAAAACATAGAAATCCCTGGAGAAATCAAAATCAATGACCTTAGCCTTATTAACCCTTAGCCTATTAAACTGTAACACGATAGGCAACTGCTAAACTGACTTTCTTCATGTGTCCACAGAGTAGGCTGATGAGCTATGTGATAAAGTTGAACTTTTAGTCAATGTCAAGGCTCAACAATATTTATAGTGTCGAAGATACTCTGCATAACACTGAATTACAGCAAGAATTCTACATGACCAAAATAATAAATTCCAGGGTTCTGTGGCTGCTGAAGGTCAGTTACAGTGCTGACAAAATTATTTATAAACTATCTATAAACAGTAATTTTCAAAGTGGATGTGCATATGATATGGGATACGCAAGAATTTAAGACAGGGAAAACACAACTTATAAAGAAAAAAGATAAATTTGACTATCTTAAAATGTAAAGCTTTTGTATTTGAAAGATAAAACTATGGTCCATGGCTTATTTGCTTCAAAAACACCTGGAACTTAAGCTTAAAATGTGTTAATTCCTGGACCCCACTCAAAATTCTGTAGCTTAACAAATTTTTCAGCTGATTCCTATATATTTTAAAGTTTAAGAATCACTGTTTTAAAATAAATGAAATATAAGTGTGACAGTCAACTCAATATTCTTTTGTGTACCACATTATTCACTGATGTTCCTAGATATTTATCCAGAGGCTAGCTATATTACTCATGTATGGTCACTTCTAACTCCAACTTTTGAATTATAATTCTCTATTCATTTCAAAGTCAAGAGTAAACAACTATAATAAATAGAGTAAACAGCTATAAATTATTCCAGATTATTGAAATCAAGAGGTTCTTCTAGCAGTAAAGTTAATCAACAGCTAATTTCATTGTTGAACTGGATGAAGAAACAGGCATATACTAAAAATATCCTTTTTAGTTTTAAATTTAAGAATTTACTTAAAAAGCTAGAGCCAATACAAATTTCTAAAGTATGATATTTTAAAATGGCTAATTAAACTAAAAAAAAAAAAAAAAACCTCTCATGGGACCATACTTTTTAAAAATTGACTTAAAAGTCTCTGATACATATGCATGTATGTACACAGGCAGGATACTTCCCTGATCCACCAGGCAAGTCCCTCTACTTTTCTTTAAAAAATATGGACTATACTTTCTTATTAATTTTTTTAAATATTTTGGCCACACTGCACAGCATGTGGGATCTAATTTCCCCAACCAGGGATCAAACCTGCACACGCTGCACTGGAAGCATGGAGTCTTAATGGACTACCAGGAAAGCCCCCCCTACTTGTTTTAACTGAAAGTATTTCTTCTCAGCTCACACACAGAAAAGAGCTTGTCAGTGTAGTCTTGATATAAACTATTTATAATAAGCAAAATTCCGTGGTAAAGAATCCACCTGACAATGCAGGAAATGTGGGTCCGATCCCTAGGTCAGGAAGAGGCCCTGGAGAAGGAAATGGCAACCCACTCCAGTATTCTTGCCTGGGAATCCCATGGACAGAGAAGCCTGGTGGGTCACAAAGAGTCAGACATGACTGCACACACACACACACACCCTTTGCTTTTCTCTGGACAAAACAGTTTAACTCATTTAACTTTTTGCTTATGAAGTAAAAGACTTTTCTGGTGAGTTTCTGAAGTAAATAACCTTACTTATGGCTGTGCGGAGTCCTCCCTGCTGCGTGGGCTTTCCTCTAGCTGCGGTGCGCAGTGGCTTCTCTTGCCGTGGAGCACAGGCTCTAGGGGGCGGGCCTCAGTAGTTGTGGCGCGTGGCCTCAGAAGTCATGGCTCCCGAGCTCTCGAGCACAGACTCAGTAGTTGTGGCACATGAGCTTAGTTACTCTGAGGCACGTGGGGTCTTCCCAAACAGGGATGAACCCGTGTATCCCGCATGGGCAGGCCTGTGATGTGGATGGGATCTGGATGTTACTTGACACTAAAGCAAGCACCAAGTAACATCCAGTAACCTTCGTTCTCCCTCCAAAACAAATACATTCAAATTTAGCTAGAGTACCAGGGTAAAAGAAAACCTGGTCACCTGTTAAAAAGTAAAGAAACAAAAAGACAATGACTTGTAAATGATTCCACTATACAACAGAATTTGCATCAACAGCTACCAAAGCTTTTTCTAACTTCAGACATAATTCTCATCACTCACCTTGTTTCAATGAGGTAAGCAGTATATGTTTCCTGCATGTTCATGGCATTTCTTCCAGTTCGCTTTTCTGCTTCTGAAACACTAATTTCTATCTTCTTCAACGAAAAATTACTTTCTGTCATCTGAATAAAAATAGAACAACAAAAACTTTTTAAATGATACTGAAAAAAAAACCCAGCTAGTATAATCAAATCCATTATTAGTACATATCTCAGGTTACTTTTTTTTCTATCTCTTGCGTTACTAGTGGCTGCTAAACGACATCAGCAAATGCTATGCCTCTTTTTACCAGCATGTAGCACATTAAACTTTTCCAGAAGCTATTTTAGCAAGTGCCATAGATTTAATTATTAAAATGTAGGCATGATTATAGGAGAAAAAAATTAAAATAAAAAGTATACCTACAGAAAAAGAGACACAGATATACAGAACAGACTTTTAGACTCTGTGGGAGAAGGAGAGGGTGGGATGTTCAGAGAGAACAGCACTGAAACAAGTATACTGTCAAGGGTGAAACAGATCACCAGCCCAGGTTGGATGCATGAGACAAGTGCTCGGGGCTGGTGCACTGGGAAGACCCAGAGGGATGGGATGGAGAGGGAGGCGGGAGGGGGGATTGGGATGAGGAACACATGTAAATCCATGGCTGATTCATGTCAATGTATGGCAAAAACCACTATAATATTGTAAAGTAATTAGCCTCCAACGAATAAAAATAAATGGAAAAAAAAAGCATACCTATCACTTAAATGACCAAGAATAAATCTATATGGAAATGTATAAGAAAAAATTTAAAAACACTGTTTACAAGATGAATGGTCCTCAATACTGATCTTTTTATTTTACCAGTCCAATCAAATATAAAATGCTATATAACAAAAGGTGAGATTTTCAGCTTTCAGCTTTAAAAATTAAAGCTGAATTTTAAATTTTTTTAAAAAGAAGGAGCCATCACATATTTGATCATAAATTTGCCTAAACATTTTGGCAGTGGTTAACAGGCTCCACTGTGAGATGGCAGGTTTTTCTTTTTTATAAATATTATTTTTATTGATTTATTCATTTTTTATTGAAGTATAGTTGATTTACAATGATGTTTTAATTCCAGGTATACAGCAAAGATATTCTTTAATATATATTCTTTTTCATTTTATTTGTGATTATAGTTTATTACAAGATAATGAACAGAGTTCCCTGTGCTATACACAGGACCCTGTCTATCTGAGATAGTAGGTTTTAAGAACAGGAAACTTCTTTCTTTTCCTGCTAGATCATCCCCAGGTCTGTATCAAACATCACTGGTGGTTCACAGGCTCTTTGTGACACTGAAGAAAGAAAGTGAAAGTGAAGTCGTTCAGTCCTGTCCAATTCTTTGCAACCCCATGGACTATAGCCTACCACGCTCCTCCATCCATGGGATTTTCCAGGCAAGAGTACTGGAGTGGGTTGCCATTTCCTTCTCCAGAGGATCTTCCCAGCCCAGGGATCAAACCTGGGTCCCCCGCATTGTAGGCGACGCTTTACTGTCTGAGCCACCAGGGAAGTGCTGCCACAGAAGAAGGTCTTGAATACACCCAAACTAGCCCGAGTTCACACACGGTGAGGCCATGCGATAACTGCTGCTCTTTCCTTTCTGTTCCCTTGCTTTTTTTTTCTCCCTTTCTCCCTGAACTTTCAAAGTTCAGAGGTGGGTTTTAATTAAAAAGCATTGTATTGCACTACAACCGGGGGTGGTTTGTGAAGAAGAGATATAAGTAAAAAGATGGATATACCAACAAGTTAAAAGAAAAAGCGGTATGTAATAAAAATCCATGATGATACTTTACACAGAAAATTAAATCTGTATGCTATGAAGACAGAATAAGCTATGTGACAATACACAAAATTAAATCAGTGATGAATAAAGATGACATGCTTAGAAAGTATCCCAAAAGCGCTGAAGAATAATAGAGGAGGTAAAGATGCGAAAAGAAAACAAAGGACAGAAAACTAAAAATGAACCCAAAACAATACTACTCTGTTGCCAAACAAGACAAATTTTATAAAATGTAAGTTTTATGTTCATGTACTAAAAGAGAAAACAAGATAAAGAAAAATCATTCAACTAAAAGAAAGCTCAAGAAATTACATAAGCATAAACCACTCAACATCAGGATTATGAAGTCCTCAAGGGTTGAGATTATACATATAAAAAATTTTGGCCTACAGGCAAGCACTGATTTATCACCAAGTACTTCACTGAAAAATTATCTGAATTCTAGAATCAGATAAAACTGATAAAACAAATTATTTCCCGCCAAAAAGATAGTGCACATGAATCATAAATTTATCCCATTATGTCATCCAAATAATTACACAGAAGGGAAAAATAAAAGTATAAAATCAACTATCATAAAAACTAAAGACAGGCACATAAAAATATCAGCAGGAATTGGTAGATGATATAAAATTGCTAATACTGTCATACTAAAGTACAAACAGTGCCATGAATAGCATAACTAATGTTAAAAGGACACATTAAAAAGATTTAGAAATGGATAAACTTGATGACTGGAAGATGAGACTAGGAGTGTGTTTTAAAGAGAGAGATAATATTTTATGTATTTAAACTGAAATACAGTTGATTTACAATGTTGTATTGGTGAAACACAATGCTTCAGATGTATTAAAAGTGGACTTCTCATCAGAGTAAAGAATATCATTAAAGAATGATGCTACGCTCGTATCCTATACTTACATTCAAAGAATAACATCCCAAATGTAGATGCTCGATAGGTGAATCACTACTTCCCACCTGACTTAAGACCAAATATATACAAAAGATGGACATATTTAAAAGGCTGACGAAAAATAAAATAAAATAAAATAAAAGGCTGATGAAATTTTTTATTTCCAAGTCAATGAGCAAAAGTCAATCTGTGTGCGTGTGTGCCAAGTCACTTCAGTCATGTCCAATTCTGCGAACCTATGGACTATAGCCCACCAGGCTCCTCCGTCCATGGAATATTCCAGGCAAGAATATTAGAGTGGGGTGTCATTCCTTTCCCCAATTAACTTTCCAACCCAGGGATCAAACCTAGGTCTCCTGCATTGCAGGCAGATTCTTAACCATCTAAGCCACCAGGCAAGCCCCAAAATCAATCTACTATAAGTTTTAAAATATTGCAAGGACTTCCCTGGTGGCTCAGTGGATAAGAATCCATCTGCCAATGCAGAGGACACGGGTTCGATCCTTGGTCCAAGAAGATTCTACATGCTGCGGGGCAACTGGGCCTGTGTGGCACAACTACTGAGCCCGCACTCTAGAGCCCTCAAATTGCAACTACGGAAACCCATGTGCCCTAAAGCCTGTGCTCTGCAACAAGAGAAACCACAGCAATGAGAAGCCTGAGAACCACAAGAAGAGAACAGCACCTGCTTGTCGCAACTAGAAGAAAGCCAATGCCCGCGATGAAAATCCAGTGCAGCCATAAATGAAGAAGTAATGCTGCAAACAGTGAAACAGTAAAAGCAAGCATAAGACAGGTAACAGTGATAAAAGGAGTGATAAGAAACTATTAATTCAATAACTGAATGATTACTGAGTATATACAATGTCAGTCATTAGGAATGGGAGATAACTGAGACAAAGTGCGTGAGTTCAGTGGTTCAAAGTGCAGAGTTCAGTAGTTGAGTTTGCCTGAGGAATTCTCACCATTCAAAAAAGAGAAAATGATGAAAGATGATTTTTTAAAAAAGGAAAACTAAGAACCAATGCTTAAATAATACTTCTTAAAGAAAAAATCAGAAGAAACAGAACAGAAATAATAATCACCAGTATAAAAAAAAAAAGAAACCAACAAAAAAATCTTTCTGGATTGAAAATATTTCTACAGCTCCAAATTGAAAGGCATGTGGTCCATGTATAATGAATTAGAAGATTAAACATCTTCAGCATAAAGGAAAAAAATCCTAAAAGGATTAAGGCAGGAAAATAAAAAGCACAACCACTGCCAAAGAATAAAGACCAGATTTGCCCTAGATTTCACAATAATATAAAGTCCAAATGACAAAGGAGCACCATGCATATAGAATGCTTGAAATATTATAAAAATACTAACACACTGTTCCTTTAAAGATAACTTTATCCAGAAGGGATTTTTGCGGTGTTTTTTTTTTTTTAGAAACTGATGCTCTGTTCCTACAATTTATATGGAAATACAAAGAACCTAGAATAGCCAAAATAGTTTTGAAAAATAACAAGTTGCAGGATCTATACTATCTCGTTTCAAAATTTATTAAAAAGCTAAACTAATCACGACAGTGGGGGCACTGGCAGGGTAGACATAGACATCAATGGATCAATGGAAGAGAACTGAGAATTCAGAAGTAAACCCTTACATTTAAGGTCAAATGATTTTAATAAACACACCAAGAGAATTCAACAGGGAGAGTCTTTTCAACATATAGTGCAGGGGCAACTGAGTAGCCACAGACCAAGGAAAAAACTCCAAAACTAGACCTTTACTCACATTGTACACAGAAATTAACTCAAAGTGGCTTACACACGCAGATATAAAAGCAAAACCTGGGGAATTCCCTGGCAGTCCAGTGATTAGGATTCATATGCTTTCACAACCAAGGAGCCAGGTTCCATCCCTGGTCAGAGAACTAAGATCCCATAAGCCACCTGGGGTAAGCTCAAAAAAAGACAAAGAAAACATGATCCTGGGATAAGCAAAGCGTTCTTAGATAAGCACAAAGGAAGAAAAAAAGACCACCTGATCTCCTAGTCTTCATCAAAATTAAAAACTACTGCTAAACTTTCAAAGATATCATTAAGAAAAAGTAAAAAGCCACAGCCCAAGGGAAATATCTGCAAATCTAATTATTTGATTAAAAAAAATATCCAGAACAACATGTGCTTATGTGCTCAGTCATGTCCGACTCTGCGACCCCACGGACTGTAGCCCACCAGGCTCCTCTGTCCATGGAATCTTCCAGGCAAGATGACTGCAGCAGGTTGCCATTTCCTACTCCAGAGGATCTTCCCAACCCAGGGATCAAACCTGTGTCTCCTGCACTTGCAGGCAGATTCTCTACCACCAAGCTACGTGGGAAGCACCCTCAATAAAAAGAAAAA